GGGAAAGGCACAGCGGGTCAGCTCTGCTCAGCACTACAAAGACATATCTGAAAAGTGTCACGGCTACAGACATGATGAACCATCCTTGAAATGCTTCTCTCTTTTTGTGTCTCCCTCCCCCCCTCTCTCTCTCTCTCTCTCTCTCTCTCTCTCTCTCTCTCTCTCTCTCTCTCTCTCTCTCTCTCTCTCTCTCTCTCTCTCTCTCTCTCTCTCTCTCTCTCTCTCTCTCTCTCTCTCTCTCTCTCTCTCTCTCTCTCTCTCTCTCTCTCTCTCTCTCTCTCTCTCTCTCTCTCTCTCTCTCTCTCTCTCTCTCTCTCTCTCTCTCTCTCTCTCTCTCTTTTTTCCCTGGACCTCCCCCAGGAATGTGGATCTGCCAAGTATGCAGGCCAAAGGAGCAGGAGGGAAAACGGTTGCTACACAAGACAGCGGCCCAGATCAAAAGGCGATATGCAAAGCCAGGAAGGCCAAGAAAAAATCTAGCACATCCAACAGTGTACGATAACTCATTTCATCTATCTTGTTCGTTATGCTTCAGGCTTAAGGTTACAGGTCTCACATCAGTATGTTGCCTAAACTGTAAATGGTCTTTTTGATGGCCTACTCTGATTTTTGTCCTTCACAATCTTGCCTTGAGAGTATATGTAGGTTTTCACACCCTCTCATCCAAAAGGTATAACATTAGCATGGCTTCTACAATGTACTTTTGGCCTGGGGCAATCTTTGCAAGTTTTATTTTTATCATATGGCTGTGTAGTAAAGCTCAGTTGGAATGCTGTCAGTCGGACTGGGTGAGTCTGGGTCAGCAAGCTTTTAACTGTGCAGTACTTGAGGGATTACATCTTTCCTAAAGGCTTGATGAGCACTGATAGACACGGTGAAACGTGTTGTTGAAACTGTGAAATCAGGCTCTTGAACCAAGGCTTAGGCTTAGTCATAGTCTAGATGTGCACAGAGATTCTCATTCATTTGTGGCTCGTGTTTTAAATGCAACCATCATCTGCTTTCACAGGTCTGACAGTGGTGGTCCGGGATCCGTTGAGCTGTCTGAAAAAGCACGGCATGGTAGGGGTTCCATAAGCACTTTCTGTACCCCACCCTCATCAAGCACCTTTATACCCACCACAGACGGCAGGAGTCTCACAGACCCCCTCACATCCACACCCACCCTCACTACGTTGCCCCCAATCAACAAGAAAACCAAAGGTCTCATTGACGGGCTTTCCAAATTTTTCACGCCATCACCCTTGGGTCGCCGGTTGCGCAGTGAGACGTCGGGCTCCTCGAATCAGCACAGGCAGAGGAAACGAGGCTATCGGAAATGCCATGCCAGCGTGACGATGCCAGGTGTGAGGTTAAACGCCCCGTCTAGCGTTCTCCTATCCCAGGCAACAACCAGCTGAAGGGACTCTTTGATGGACTGTCTCACATCTTTACCACTCAGGGACAGTCCCGGCAAAAGGGACTCCCCAGCTACGCACCGCCCAAGCGAGCGCGCCGCAGCCAGGACATTTCCACCTCACCAAAAATGTCCCTGCAGCTTCAAGGAAAGAAGTCTGTCAAGGGTTTTGGTAGTAAATTAGCATCTCTGTCCGGTTCAGCATCAGGATGGGTGCCCAAGCGGGGCCGGCCGTTTAAGTCGGCACTCCGCCCAGTCTTCCTCACCCTCCTCTGCCCACTCACCCCACAGCTCCTCCTCCCAGTCTAGCGGCCCATCCCTCAGTAGTATCCCAGGCAACAACCAGCTGAAGGGACTCTTTGATGGACTGTCTCACATCTTTACCACTCAGGGACAGTCCCGGCAAAAGGGACTCCCCAGCTATGCACCGCCCAAGCGAGCGCGCCGCAGCCAGGACGTTTCCACCTCACCCAAAACATCCCTGCAGCTTCAAGGAAAGAAGTCTGTCAAGGGTTTCGGTAGTAAATTAGCATCCCTGTCCAGTTCAGCCTCAGGATGGGCGCCCAAGCGAGGCCGGCCGTTTAAGTCGGCGCTCCATTTCAAACGAACACCCTTCTTGAGAAAGCACAAGGTGCTAGGCAGGTTTAGGTTTAAGGCCTCCCCGCAGAGGGAGAACATCACACCAGGGAAGGGCAGATTGGCAGATGGAAGAGTAAAACCAGACCCAAACCATGGTAAGCACAGGGGCCTAAACCTCCAAACAGCCAACTGGCTTTTTCATCTTCAACCGTTTTACTCATCTTCCTCATTTTTTTAAAAGCAAAATAACATGGATTTTTGTTTTTCAACTAATACTGCATCTCTGCATTTTTGTTTTTAACCTTTTTCTTCAATCTTTTTTTATTATTAATTCTGAAGCCACTAAAGCCTTAGATTTCTGCTCTCTGCTCACGTCCTCATGCTGCTCACACCTGCCTCTCAAACCCAAGTTATTCATGCTTTTTCCCTTTAGTAACAAGCACTTTAATGTAAAGTGTTTGCATTTCAAATGACCCTTGCTCCTGGTTTGGTTCCCTCTCAACCTCTGCACAAATGGAGTATTTGTTTAGAGGTCACTGTTGCCTAGAAACAAACTGTGATGTGTGGTTAGAGGTTTGAGGTTAGTGTGTTGGCCAGCAATGTTGATATGAGCCTTTCCTATCAGCCTTCCTTTCCATGACAGTAGTGATTTGCATGCTAGCAGTTGTGATTTTGAATGCCATGTTATCAAGTCTAAGGTTAGTGCTTGTTTATATTAGCTTTGGGTTTTGTTGTGTCAGCATCTTCTCAGTTCTTTTGTACTATATTCTGCAAATATCGACTTTTAAAGGGCTTTTCTATGACCTCTCACAGCCTTTAATGCCAAGAGATGCTCAAGAAGAGAACCGCAGGAAGGAAGGATGACTTTACTCCATGACCATGTGGCTGAAGAGGATCTGAAATTGTTCAGACACGTCAAGGAGATCACAGCAAAGGTGTGGGGAGTAAACCACCCGTTGTCAACAGAAGAGGTTGAAGAGCTCACTGCAGTTTTTCGCCTAAATAAAAGCTTGATAGTTGAAGAAAATAAGACCTAAATATTGCTACTGTAATTTTACAGTTGTACTGTAAAATAAAATGATCTTTTTCTTAAATATTTTACAGTGGAAATTTGCAATAGTGGTATTTCATTTTGTTTACTATTTTTATTTATTTTTATTACTATTATTCTCCCTATATTGTGCTGCCCTATTAACTGGTCTCCAAGTCTGGTCTTTTGGCTGGTTTTAGAGAGGTTTTGGGTATTTTTTCTTACTGGGATTCCAGCTTAAGTCACATTAGACCAGCAAACCAGCTTAGCCTGGTTTAAGTGGGTTTAATTAGAGCATCTGGACACAACCCCTGGCAAACACCATAGCCTTGTGGCTGTAATAGAAAAATCGAATTCTTTTTAAGTGTTTCTGTTTCTAACTTGTGATTTATTTCAAAAACAGAAAACTGGTGGCGATCAAGGACAATCCCCTCCTTTGATTGAGTTTGGGCAATATGAAATACAAACTTGGTATTCCTCACCATACCCTCCAGAATACTCAAGGTAAGTCTAAATTAACAGAAATTTTTTTACGGCAGTTTTCAAAATGTTTGCCAGAGACAGTCTTAAGCAATTGTAAACTAGTATGTGATTTAGAGTTTCTCCCTGCTCTTGTAACTTATGCTACATTTTTGGTTATAATTAATTGCTGCTCACCTTCTCAGATTACCGAAGCTTTATCTCTGCGAGTTCTGCTTAAAGTACTTGAAAAGCCAGGACATTCTGCAGAGGCATTCAAATAAATGTGGATGGTTTCACCCGCCAGCAAATGAGATCTACAGGAAGGAAAACATCTCTGTGTTTGAGGTCAGTGCATGCTCTTAAATCTTGCACAAGGGGCACATGCACAACTTCATCCGCATCCTAATTTACCGTCTGCATTTGCAATTGAAACAAGAGGGGGTTATATCCAGAGATTAAAGGCTATGAAGTGCTAAGCTTGTTGAAAGACACATCTGAGCATCATGAATGAGAACTGGACTTGCATGAATTAATCATGTCAGATTAAGACAATTCTTCAAGGACTCTGTATCTTGTTTGTCTAGTGAACAGGAAATGCTTTAGAAACCTAGCAATCCTCCAAAAGTGTTTAAGACCTTTCATTGCTCTCTGTTGATGAGTTGTGAACTTCACATGTGCTCCACTAGCAGGAGCTGCCCTTGTATGGCCTACCTGGCTTTAATTGTTTTCTATTTTGTCTTCTTTGCTCAGGTTGATGGAAATATCAGCAAAATATTCTGCCAAAACCTTTGTTTGCTTGCAAAACTTTTTCTGGACCACAAGACATTGTATTACGATGTGGAGCCTTTTCTCTTCTACGTTCTAACACAGAATGATGAGAAGGGTTGTCATCTTGTTGGATACTTCTCAAAGGTATTACAACACTTAAATAGATACAATATGAATTATATATGTAATCCTATGACAGTGAAGTGTACAGTAAGAGTAACAGCGGGTTATCTAGTGGGCTGCTGAAGAATTTCTTGTACGGTGTCCGTTTTTGCTGCAATATGTTTGAAGGGTTTTGTGTGGTTGTTTGGTTCAGTTCAGGACAATGGCAGGTGCAGTGAATTGCATGCGTTGGCAGTGTGCTGACACACTCTATCTTTCTCTCCCACAGGAAAAACTTTGCCAGCAGAAGTACAATGTCTCCTGCATAATGATCATGCCTCAGTACCAAAGGCAAGGATTTGGGGGGTTCCTCATTGATTTCAGTAAGTTATTCATTAACTGGTTTGGAAGTCTTAAGAAATGTGAGCATAAGATTGTTTACATCATGAAAGGATGCTTCTGTGCTTTGCATGAAAGCAAAAAGAGGATCTGTTTCAGACTAGACAGTCATGATGGAAAGAATGCCTGTTTCGTTGTACTGAGTACTGGGTTTGCATATCTTTATATACAGTTGAATGTAGTGCATGATATAATTTGTTTGCTTGTGAATGTTTTGATGTGCTTTCTGTGTAGAATCAGAGGAGCATTTGCATACTTTGTGTTAATGCAAAAGTCTAAAATACTTAGAATATAAAAATTAATCTAAATCTGACTTTGCTTAGCACAGGATCAGCTCGAATTTTAACCAATAAAAAAAGGACTTTTTATTTTTTTTTTTGATAATGTAAATTAATAACTCTTACGAGTCGGTGTAAAATTTAAATTACATATATTATTTATAGTTGTGTGTGTGTGTGTATCTGTCACTTGGACTGGACTGGTTTGTTATTGTCTTCTCTATTTTTATCCATTAGTAAAATATTGTACTGTAATACTGCTTTTTTTAATGTAACTGACATCACAAGAAGTGAGACAAGTCTTTAGCCATTAGAATCAAAACTATAATCGTTAAATTCCTTACAAATAACACTTTGGCTTTGATGAGAAACTTGCATGTGTTCATATGTAAAATATCATTCAATCCAAGCTTGTGAAATGTGCCCCACGACCTTAAGAAGCTGCATATAAGCATCACTCCATGTCTTCATAAATTGTGATTGAGTTGTTTTATGTTTTGTCTGAGTGACACTCGAAACCGATCTGACAACAATACTCATAAACAATCTTTCCTCATCTCCTCTCTTTGTCTCTTTTTCTGTCTTTCCAGGTTACTTACTTTCCAGGCTAGAGGGTCGGGCTGGCTCCCCAGAGAAGCCTCTATCTGATCTGGGTCGTCTGTCCTACTTGGCTTATTGGAAAAGTGTCATACTGGAGTACCTGCACAACCACCCAGATAAGAGTGTCAGCATCAGGGGAATGAGCCGAGCCACGGGCATGTGTCCACATGACATCGCTACCACACTTCAGCAGCTCAACATGATTGATTTCCAGAATGGCAGGTGGGTTTGACTGTGGTGGTATCTGTCAATCTGACAATTCACTCTCATGCTTTCAGTGTACTGCATCATCTCTGAAGACATTATTAGATTTAAACAAATATTATTAGATTTAAATATATTTAAATAAAGCCACAATTATGGCTATATTTGCATGTGCATCAATACTGAATTACAGTTTCTCATACTTGGTGCATAAAATCTGTTTTTAAAATATTATGTTATTTTTTAAATATTATATGTTTGTCTAGGTTTGTAATCATCCGAAGACATCAGCTAATTGAGGAGCACATGGATAGACTGAGAATGAAGCCACGTCTTCATGAGGTTGACCCTGACTGCCTGAGCTGGACACCAGGTTCAGTCTGCAGAAGCCCACCAGGGGAGTTGAAGAGGGCTATAGCACAGGTAGGCTTAAAGGTCTATTCATGGTTTGATCAGGGACTGAACACAGCTGATTTTAGTGAACCCAGTTTTTATTTGTTTTTCTCTCCAAGTACAGAGTGCTCTAATACTTAAAGCTAAACTATCAAGGATTTCTTGTTAAATTTCCCATTAGAAATGGATTGAGCCAGTACAAATGAATCGATAAGTGAAATGTTTAAAACCACATTTTTGCTTTACCCTGCAGTCACTATGATAAGCTTTTAATAATGATTTATATTCAGAGCTTTCAGGTTTGATTTGGCAGAAAATCAGGCTTCTCTCATTCTTCTTTCTGTTGACTTTGTCCACAAACAAAGAAAAGATCTATGGCAGCAGATGTACTACTTGCTCAGATTACTTTTTTTTCGAATACATGTCTTGAAAGACTTTCTACTCACTATCAGTGCTCTTGGTGTAACTAATCACGTTACGTTGTTGTGGTAATCACAGACAACCATAGTTATACCTATATTGTTTCAAAAGTCAAAAAAGCCCCCAGAAGTAGGCACTGCATTAATACTGTTGCTTTATCCATAGACAGTGAATCCTCTGCAACAACCTTTATATAAATATACAACAAACATCTAGGTGGTTTTCTTGGCATATACAGAGGCTTGATCAGTTCATTCCACAGGGTGACTTGAAGTCCACTTTACAATTACAGCTGTCTCGCATCAAATTACTGTTTTGTCTGCATTATTAACGTTTGCAGATATTGCATTGGAAACAGACGATTTTGGAAAATGCCCCTTTATTGTTTTCTTTTGGCCTCTGACACAACCTGACTCTTTTTGCATAATGCTGAACTCGACCATTATTGGTAAGATGATCAAAGGCTGTTCTGGTAGCTGTGTCTAAAATCAAAGCTTATGTTTTTAAATTCAAACCTATTCAATAGGCAGATCATGGCGATCACAATGAGTGCAGGTCACTCATTCCTTACTTGGCTCTGCATTATTAGCTACAAGATGATGCTTGCATGAAAAGTGAGCTAAATTTATCCCATCGTTTGTCTTTCAGGAGTTCAGGGTGAGTTCACAGAGATAGCTGAAAGCACTTTCAACAGTAACCCAGCTTCTTGAGTGACCTAAATCAAAGCCCTGTATTATTAATGCCTCTGAATGTCCCATGAAATGTAATCTTCCACAGCCGCTTAAAAATAAATGTTGCTGAGATCAACGGCTAATCAAGAGACAATCTCTGCACTGCAGGGGCGCTGCGGAAGCAAAATGGATAACTGAGATGTTATGTATTTGAGTGACTCAGACAAGCTCATGTTTGTGTTTTTGTGGCATAACAGGCAGACCGTCGTGCAGGCTGTAGTGCGTCAACCAGGAATTTGACAATGGGGATGGGTTACACTAGCACAAGTCCTCCACTAACCAAGTGCAAGAACTTCAGCAGAAGATACTCAGACCCACTGTTTGCCAACAGTGCTGGGAAAGATTTCGAAGTGAGTGAAGAAAGCAGCAGTGATGATGATGATGATGATGAAGACGACGATGGTGAAGACAGTGCATTCAAATCCCAATCTGGGCAGGAGCTCAAGCGAAAGGTAAAGATCAGAATCAATGGTAGTGTGCATTTCTTCTAGTTCTCTTTGTATCAACATTGTTCACGTTGAATTTCCTTCATCATTTGGGAGGTGTATTTAGTTGGATGGAAAAAGATCCAAAACTATCCATTTGCCAGAAATTTCCATCAGTCCTTAAGTCCATAATTAAGTAATATTGCTTTCATGATTTGTGTGGGAAATCTTGGTTCTGTATCACCAAGTAATACTGCAGATTATTTGCACTGGGGTACTGCTATCCCAGAATGCCTGGGGGAGAATATGTTGTGAGGAACTTGCGGTCAGTTTGATTCTGCACACTCTCATTTGGGGTTTTGGGCAGGCTAAGCTTTCCAAATGAATGGCCTGTGGTGGAGGCACTGTGGTCTAAATGATGGACTTTTGCATTTAGATCATGGAGCAACCCATTTACAATGCAGCCACATTTCCCTATGTTTAGCATCACCCTTGACCGTATCTGTCTCCTCCAAACCTCTGCTTTTTGGATTAAACGGCACCAGGGACAATTTGACAAAAAAGTGGCTAACTCTTGATATGACAGTTGTTAAGTCTAAAAGTCTTTGACATCTCTCTGTATTTATTCCATTCTCAAGCACAAGTTGTTCTCAAGCATACAATATGCAAAATTTTTTTGTTTGTTTGTTTGATTTTTTTTCTTAGCGGGCACCAACTCTGCGACGGAAGAGAGGGAGGAGGAGAACACGAATCAACAGCAGTGTCACGACTGAGACCATCTCAGAGAGAACAGAGGTGTTAGATGAGCCATTCGAAAACTCTGATGTGGAAAGCCCTCTGCCACAGCTCAGCAGGAGGGGTGGCAGTGAGGATGAGGAAGAGGAGAAGAGCCAGAGATTAGCCATGCGTCGGCCTGGTAGACCAAGGAGATATGAAGATGACAATCACTCAAATCAATCTAAAGAAGGAGGGAATGTGGAAGGTAAAGCTATACATGTTAATATTTACAACATACTGTTTTGTTGCATATTTGAAAGATAAGTTAACATGGGACATCTTTTTTGGTGTTTCTGAAGCAGTGAAAAAGGACAATCCTCGACCTCTAAAACGGAAGAAAGGCTGGCCCAAAGGTGTCAAACGAGGCCCTCCTAAATGGAGACTAAAGGAACGCAAAATGGGCTTTAAGCTCAACCTCTACACACCTCCTGAGACGCCAATGGTCACAGTGGAGCAGGAGCAAGAAGAGGAGCAGGATGCCAGCCCTGCCTCCTTCTCAGGGCCATGCGAGTCTATTAGAGAGCCCAGACCAGAGGACCCAGAGCTGGACCCCTGCGATTCAGAGCCCCACAGTCCCGAGCCATCCGAGTCTCACAAAGTAAATGAGAATGAGTCGACAGACAAATCTGACATGGTGGAAAATTCACCCTGTGGGGATGAGACCAATGAGACAAAATCAGGTCCAATAGATGATGCTCAAGAGTCATCTCAAAATACAGAGGAAATCGAAGACCTGAAGCCAGAGGGTGAAACAGAAAGCAGGGTTGGTATGGGCTCAGGTGAACGAGATGAAGAAGAGGATGAAGACGAAGAGCCAGAACCATCTCATGTGGACGATCATGATGCGGATGATGAAGATGACAGTCATGAGCAGAGAATAGATGACCCGGTGCCACTACCAGAAAGAGACCTTACGGAAGACCCAGAGCCAGTTCCAACTCCTAGTAACAACAATAAAAATCCTGAAGTGCAGCCGAACCCTGTGGACCCACCTCCTCATTGCTTAGAGGAGCTTGCATCTGAAAGCACTCTCGTGAGCTTGGGTGTGCAACAGGGTGACACTGTGGACTCGGATCATCCTCCAGACTCAGAAACCGAGGAAGAGGATAACAGTCAGAGGCCTGAAGAAAAGCATATGGGCCCGTTGACCCCGGCAATAAAAGAGGACCATAACATTTGCCCTGAGCTTGACATGGAGACGGCCCAAGCAGTGCAGTCTCTGACTCAAGAGTCTGAGCAGGAGAGACACTTTCAGGATTGTGTGGAGACTCAGGAGGCCTGCCACAGCCTACAGCGGTATGTTCATGTTGAGCAGAGCCCTCAGATGACTCCCGTGGACGACTGCCAGCAGTCAGATCACAGCAGCCCTCTGTCTTCTATCCATTCTCATCCGAGCCAATCTGTACGGTCAGTCAACAGTCCAGCAGTGTCCATTTTAGAAAGTGGTTACACGCAGATCAGTCCTGATCAGGGTACTGTCTCGGTGCACTCGCTTCATAACAACATGGAGACTAGTCCAATAATGGATGTGCCCTCAGTGTCAGACCACTCTCAGCAGGTGGTGGACAGTGGCTTCAGTGACCTAGGTAGCATTGAGAGCACCACCGAGAATTACGAGAATCCCAGTAGTTACGACTCAACGCTGGGTAACAGCATTTGTGGCACGGGAGCAGGAGCGGGCGCCTCCTCCCAGAGCAGCTGTTCCTATGGCAACCTCTCCTCTGGTGGCAGCCACAGTCAGAGCAGCTGTGCTGTGTCCCAGCAGATGGCCGGTCCTGTGGTGAGCAATACTGGCGCTTGCAGCATGCTCCAGCAAACCAGCATGAGCTCCCCTCAGGGATGCAGTGTGAAGTCTCCGCAAGGCTGTGTGCCGGAGAGGCAGCCCAGCCATCCGCACGGCCATGGGCATCATAGCCACAGTCACCACCACAGCCATCACCAGCACCATCAACATCACCAACACCCACAACACCAGTACCAGCAGCCTCTGTCGCACTGCTCCATGCCGACCAACTTCCCTCCACCCATGCAGCTGCCTGACATCCCAGAATCAAACAATCCCTCCAGCAACCTGGGCCTGTATGACCGAATGGGCCAGGGAGAGTATGGAGGTGGACACTATGGTCAACACTCAGCTACGTTCAGCCTGCATAAACTACAACAGCTCACCAATACCATCATGGACCACTCCTTGCCCTTCAGCCATTCTGCCTCACACTCCATCTCATCCTATGCAAACAACAACGGCTCGTTGTCCACGCAGCTCGGTCCTCACAATCCCACGCTGGTGTCACTGTCGCAACCTGGTGGAGGTCCTCAGTCACAGGCTACTGTGACTCCTCCGCCCAACATGACACCACCGCCCATGATGCTGCAGCGCAACATGGCTACACCCAACATGAACCTGGCCCAATCTCAGAGACTGCAAACGCAAATGGCCCCCAAGAATCACCACCACCACCACCCTGTGTCAATCCGCTCCAAATCAGCCCCTCTGCCGCCCCACCACCAGCAGCAGATGTATGGTAGGGGTCCTCAGACTGTAGCCATGCAGGCTCCTGGGAGGACGCTGGCTATGCCGTCGCGGATGAACATGGGGGTAAACCTCATGCCCGCCCCGGCTTACAATGTCAACTCGATGAACGTGAACGTCAATATGGCGATGAACACTTACAGAGTGACGCAGCCTATGATGAACGGAGGCTACCATGGCAATCCTACCTATATGAATCAATCTCCACAGTACTCTATGCAGATGGGCATGATGGGTACTCAGCCTTACCCACAGCAGCCCATGCAGGCTCCTCCCCATGGCAATATGATGTACAGCCCAGCAGGTCATCATGGTTATGTGAATACTGGCATGTCCAAACAACCCTTAAACGGGCCTTATATGAGAAGATAATCAGCGACCTGAAAGTGAAGGGTCATGATGTTGCAAAGTCAGCTAGTTGACTTGAGGTATTTAGTTTGTTCTTATTTTCATAGTTAATGTTCGCTTTTATGGATCTTTCTGAAAGAACCAGCACTTGGTAAGAATGCAAAAAAGTTTTGTTTATTGGCTAAATTTTAGCTTTTTTCCCCTGTTTATGGGAAGCCTTACAGTATAAGATTTAAAATGTAACATTTGTGTAAGCGTAAATCTCCCCCGAACTGCATTGCAGTTGAATGGAGGTTACATTTTCTTTAAGTTGGAACCTGCATTATGGAACCTTTAAATGTGCCTGCAATGTATGTTTTTGGACAAAAGAGCCTTTTCAATGTACCTTTAGCAATCGCAAGGTTATATATGTAAGTCTGTACTCATGCCTTCCTATTATTTAAATTATTGTAAATCTACTTTTATATTTTTTTAAATGTAAGGTTATAATTAGCATGCTATAACGTCTTTGTTAGTGACAGTGCATCAAAGTAGTACTGTACAGTGTTGTGCTTAATAGCAAGCAATTTTATATTAAATGTATGGCCTTGGTTAGGTTTCCCTCGTATGGAAGGAAAAATTAAACTCTATTTTTGTTGATTCTAATACTGTAAAGATTTGAAAACATCGTCATGCTCGGCTTGGAAGGTTCTATTGCTAATTGTGTATAATTTGTTACTTGATAACAAGTTTCTTTACCTGAGGCAGCTTTCTGTTTTTATACAATTTAAAGCAATTTCTGTCACAATAGCAAAGAACAGTCAATGTCAGTATTTGTACATGTAGAAATCTAAATCAAAGGGGAAGGGTAAACTAAAACATTTCAAATGGGGCAGAGTCGCAAAATTATTATTATGAGTGTCAATTTACTCCATAGTTGGTCTTTTATGAAATGCCTTTAAACTTACATTTTCATTCCATCTGTAGATTTTTTTTATCTTTATAAAACATCTGATTTATATTTTACTGAAATGTAGAGCAGTAGCCTTGTTGATAGACAAAACAGATGGCATGTAAAAAGGTAAATTGTATCGGTGTCTGTTTGTATAGCTTATTTTGTAGCCTTTGTACCTGTACAGAATGGCAGTTTGACGTAAGAAGGATATCCTGACTGTACTAATTAACAGAGCAACAGTCCTGTATTTATGAGTTACCTTTTTAGTCGGTCACTTAAATGCTGTACATTTTAGCAGAAAATAAATTATGATGAGCCACTGACAGACTTAAAAGTGTGTATGGACTCTGTTTTCATCTCATGCTCATCGTGACTCATACTTACTTTCTTGAAAGGATCTATTACAGCCAACAGATTTTCAAACGCATTGTTACGGTTGGAAACAATCTTGTAGAGTGCAAGGACTACTGAATAGAGAAACAGATGCTTTTGACTGTGGAGGATGGATAAATTTAGCTGGAAATCACTAACATGTATCTAATGCAACAGCACAAATGTCTTTGCAATAAAAATGAACCAGTATAGTCCTTGACTACAAATATTAAATATTTGTGCTTGACAGTGTTCTAGGGCCAAAGGAAATACCTCGACCGTTTTATCCTACTGTACAAACATTACAAATCATTAAATACACCCCAGAAACAGAGTAGCTGGCTGTGTGTCTGAAAGAAATTGCTGCATATTTCCTTATGCTTTTTCAATAAACTGTAACCATTCCTTAAATCTTGAACTAACTGACTTCAAGCCAAATGACCTAAACTAAAGTACAGAGATTAAATGATTTTTAGGATAATCCAATTGAATTCCAGGTCACCTCCCATTTTCCATCGGGTCACAGTATCCGCGCACACAAGAATGTATCTCAGTCACTGATATTAGTGCCGATTTCATAGGTCAGCGCTAATAATCCAACAAGAGAGCATCGTTCTCTCCTGGGAGAAGCTGCATCAGGAACATTTGCCTCCATCAGTTCTGCTTTTTGGGCCTCTCATTCGAATTCTACAGGGCTCACTTGATTGAGTCCTTGAATACCTGTTACTTCCCTCTTATCTAAAGAGATTTAACATGCCCTGTCTCTCTCTTTACTTGCTTTCTGCTTTGCTGAGTGCATGGTCAATAAATTGAGCTCAGGGGAGAGAAACTCCCGAGAGGTTTAAAGTAGCGAAGTCTTTTGCCTCCACTCCATAGTAATCAATGTTCAAGCCTAGGTAGTATTAGCAACGTTATTCCATTTCCCCTCTGCTGTGCTGAAAACGTTTCGTTCCATGTTTCTGAAGCTGATGGCAATCTAGAGCTGTCTAACATCGAACCAAATTCTTGAACCTCACTTTTATCCCGACTTAAATGTTTTACATAATCTATTTGACGTAATAGTGTTGCTAGTAGCTTTAATATCTTTTTTCTAATTTAGACATGGACCAGATCTATCTATATTCTCCTGGCCATTCCTGCAGTTGAAATGCTCATGTACAGTCACTTTCTAAATGAATCTGCACTAGTGTAATTGTTCTTTGAATGCCATCTTCCTTTTAATTCCTATTGCTGAACATGTACTATTATGCCTTAGAGAGGAAGGAAAAAAGAGACCATGCAACATTTGTCTTCTAATTACATGTTATAGTTTTAATGCAGCTAATAGGGGACCTGTAAAAGCTGTCAACGCTGTTTTTTGATCTGCAGGCTCTATTAGTTCAGCCTGAAAGCAAACACTTGACTAATTATTTTCACAAGGCTTCTGATGTCAGTGTCTTAAAACGTTGTCATTGCAAGTATGCATGATTACACTGATATGACAGTTGAAATGCTCTGTCAAAACAGATGTCAATTTTCAGTAAATTTTGCAAATGCATTTTATAAGCTAGTATGTTGAAGCTTTGGCTTTCTATAGTTAGGGCCTGTGGAAATATCAAGATTTACAGGGCCTGTATTTCCTGTGGTCTGAACAATTGCTCCTCTCTCTTCAAACATCCAAAAGATTGGATTTCCAAAATATACCACTTAGTGTATCAGTGATTGTGTTTGTAAACATGAAAAAAAGATTACATTTGTCCTCCTAATGGTGTGGTACTCGCCTCCAATATTAACAGCCTGGGGTGGTCCATTTGTACCGAGCAGACACGGCATGTTTGCTTGGCCCAGAATAGCTTGCACATTTCAAATGATATTTTTAGGCTATTGATCTATGAGTTGTGACCTTAGCAAAATGCAGCGCAGGAGCTGATGAGGGGAGTGGCGCATTTGCGACCTCTGGCTATAGACACAAATGCAGCTCCATGTATTTGGTCCAAAATACTGTTTCCAGCATTGATAATAAATCAGCATATTAGAATGATTTCTGAAGGATCATGTGACACTGAAGACTGGAGTAATGGCTGATGGAAATTCAGCTTTGCATCACAGAAATAAAATAGATTTTAAAATATATTAAAATTTTGATCAAATAAATCCGGGCTTAATGACTTCTTATAAAAACATAAAATAGTAATGTATCCAAACGTTTAACCTATATATACTGTGTA